CAGCAGCTAAACTCGGGTCACATGACCGTCAATCGCCATGGGAACCGCCTGGTTATTGGGTTATATAAGGAGCGATGTCGCTCCAGCATCGCCACGGCAACAGATGCAGGTTTAAATCTTGTTTCTGAACTTAATTAAATTTTTGCATTAATCTAAATTCTGGAGTGAAGAAACGTTTAACCTTAAATCTGTTTGTTTTGCTGTGACTCAGCAGATCATGAAGCTGCTTCATCTTCTAAATGTCATTCAACCCCTTTTGGACTTTGACTAGGCCATTCCGAACTCCTGAATCTGCTGTGATTTAAACCATCTGCTGCGTCTCTGGCTGCTTGTTTACAGTGATTCTGTCACTGCTGAAGAGCAGCAGCCCTCAGCATGATGCTGCCGGCACCGTGTTGCCGTCACAGTAGCAAACGATAATATCGCTGGTCTGAGAACCTTTGATAAAGATGATAACGGCAGAATAATTCAAAAGCAACAAACTTTACATTCTAGTGGAAAGAAATCAATAAATGAAATAAATTCCCTGGAAACTTTAAAGCAGAGCTGGTTGAGACCAATAAGTCGGAGAGAAATTATTGAGCTTTTAATGCGGTGAATCGATTATTTTGCCCATTTCTGTTTCTCCCGTTTTCGTGTTTTCAAGATTGAATTCAGGGAACGTTTTAGGTTTACATGTGTAAAAAAATCATTTCAATGTGTGTAAAAATCATTATTTTCCTAATTTGAGTTGCGTCTCATAAATCCATTCACGTTGGTCGTATTTGTGCATTTTGGTGAAATGTGGTTTTCTGTCCTGTGGTTCTGCTTTGACTTCTTGGCTTCTTGGTTCCAGGTGTGGTTCTGGTTCTCCTGTTCTGGTTCTCCTGTTTTGGTTCTCCTGTTCTGGTTCTGTTTCCCGCGGCTGATTATTCCATGCAGGTTAATCCGAGCAGCGGGATTAGCTCGTCTTTAGGCCAGATTAAACACCTCCTCCTCCTCCTCCTCCTCCTCCTCCTCCTCCTCCTCCTCCTCCTCCTCCTCCTCCTCCTCCTCCTCCTCCTCCTCCTCAGACAGAGAGGTGAATCTCTGCTGGGTTTCAGGCTGACTCACCTCTCCTCCTGTCTGTGTGTTTTCAGATAAAGTGATGCGTGATGAGTCGGAACGCGGGTTGGGTAATAATTTGTGTTGGAGACGTTGGAACATGTCTGAACCGTTTCTGACGGCTTACGCCTCTCTGAGTATCTCAGGTCAGAGGTCAGAGCGCCTGGCTGTCAGCTGATTCTGCTGAAGAAACTGGAATTAAAACACAGTGAATTCAGGGAAGTTAAGAGATTCTGCTGGTTCAAAACATAAAAGCATAAAGACTTCAAGAAAATCATAGTAAACATCAGAGAACATGGAAAACCTAGAAATATTCAAAACATTTTAAAATGTTTGTTTTGACCGTGTTTGTGCTTTAATTCACATTTGTTGACCTTTCTGACAGACTTTATTGTCATTCAGTTTCATTTAAAGTGTCCATATTTTGCTGCAAGGCTCCAATAATGATTAAATGTCACTTTCATTACATATATGGACTTTGACTGGGCCAAATATGTGATTTGGCCCAATTCCTTGGGTGGCATTTTTCATCTTCTGCTAGCTAAGGAAGTTGCTCGGGTTCTTAAACTGAAGGATTTAATGGCTTGAATAATTAGCATTAGCAGTGATTGGTTCTCATGCTAAACAGACAGTTTACTGATTTCATTCAGGTTTGAAATCTAAACCTCACAGACCCTGAGGACTGGAGTTGGAGACCCTGTAGCTAGATTAGCATTTAATTATAGTTTAGTAAATTATCATTTATCTGTTGATGCTAACTCTTGTTTTGGTGGCTCTCCGTTTCTGTTTATTTTAGTTTTGCTAGCTTTAGCCTAGATTGAGCTAAAGTTAGCGAATTCAGTTTATTTTTGTTAATTATAGTTTAATTCAGCTTCTTTTGGAACAGTTTGCCTTCAGTTGGCTAATTTAGCTTCATTTGGTTTCCATATCTTTAACTCATTTACCTCGTTAGCTGATATCAATTGTTTTGTTTTTTCTTGTAGTTTTAGGCCAACTCACTTTATTTACGTTAACATACCTTTATGATTTCTCAGTCTTATCTTTGAATCTGTGAGCTTTGTTCATCTGCTTTTATCATATCTTATCTTCATTTCTTCTCTAAAGAAAATCAGTTTATTTTAAATGTCTTTTTAAATCTTCCTGTTTGTTCTTCTTGCATATTTTGTGAATTATTTACCAGAATATTAGTTTGTTGTTGTGGCCCAGCTGTTACTCCAATTTAAACTTTGAGCTTTTGGTCGGTTAATTAATAATCAATGGCTCAGATCTTTTCCTACTGATTTTTGTGGATGTTGAAGATGTTTGACGTAAAATCCTTCAGTATCTGATGGAAGAAGCTCTGGCCTGGATATTTGTGTGTTAATATTAAGTTGTTTATGTCTAAAGTGCTGAAATCGGGACTTTAAGTCTCAGATATGTGGATCAGGAATGTTGGATCCGTGTTTGCAGTTTGACATTTCGCCTCATATGAGTGAAGAACAGAAACACGGTTTCTGCGCCGTCGCCTCATGACGACGCGTCGACCCTGAAGAGCGCCGTTGTGTCTTCAGAACAGTGGAGCATTATTTGGGTCGGCGCCCCGCCCCCCCAAGACGCTCAGTTGCACAAATAAACAAACCCTGAGCAGAACAGACAGACGACGAGTCGGATCAGCACAAACTCTGTTCTGTTAAGGCCCAAACTCCTCACGCTGACCTCTGTTTGACCTTTACCGATCACCCCCTGCAGAGTTCAGAGCTTCCTGTAGGTCAGACAGGAAGTGAAGTAAAGGTTGACAGCAGCAGGGAAGGTGAGGAGGACCACGGCTGTTTTTTACGTACATAAATGATTTAAATCACAAATATCAAATGATTTGACCTGAAACAAGGAAAATGAACCATTACAAATAATTTCAGACTTTTTAAGGTGATAAATATTAAGCATAAATCAATAACAATGAAATAACATTTTTAAATTATGACAACAAGGTCATAATATTAGGAGAATTAAATGGTGATTTTCTGAAAACCCCGACAAAAAAATTAAAGTGAGGAATGTTGAGTGTCTTGTGAAGTTCTACGTTTGTATAAGTTTTATAAAGAATGAAATTCTTTTAACACAACAACATTAAATTATCACTTTTTTGAGTTTATTTAGAGGAAAATGACAAACTGAGCTGCTCATGTCAGATCCTGATTCTCATTAAAACATCTATTTTCTAGTTATTTTTGGTCAAGTTTACTTCTCGTAATGAAATAAAACTTATTCTAGCCTGACCCTAATTCTTTGTTGTACAATTCAAAGAAGGTGTGATTGAAATAAAAAACACTTTTAAAAATATTTTCTGTAATTAGTTTTTTTTTTCTAGAAAAAAGACTAGAATTGAATCTGATCTTAAAAATACCAAAAATCATAGTGTTTATTTTGAAGCCATATTTGGTTTAGCCTAACAGTTTTGCTTATTTTTCCGTCCTCTGAAGTTCTCACCTGACTCTCATTAACCTGGAATAAAGTTAATCCGTCCCTCCATTATTTTGTTCCCATCTGGTATTTTTGGTATTCCAGGCCTTCCATACAGAGGCTACCTGGCTACACGTGTCAGGGTAGCTTCATTCTGAATCCCAGTCAACTGATTACTCTGGTACTACATTAGGCGGGTTGCGTTGATGGTTTATATGATCTTTGACCTTTAAGGAATTTTATGTAAAGCCACAGGTTACAAAGCATCGACAGGATCTTAAAGGTATCAGCCAGGAGGAGGAATGTAAACAATTTCCACAGCATTTTAAACATCAGGAGACAGAAAATGGTACAATGAAGCAAAAACTGGAAGCTTTTCTCACATTAATGACAAGATGAGACGGAAACTGATCACTCAGGTGTTATGGTGCGTAACCATAGCACCAAGGTATTGTTTTTACAACTAGGAGCTGCAGATTAGCATCACGAAAGCCAGAGAGAGAAAGAGGATGTTCAGCCATTATAATGGTCATGAATCATATCCCTGACTGTCTCTGCTGGCCTTCTCGCCAAACGCTGTAAAGAGGAGCAGCTCAAGCAAAGGAGGTGGATTAGCAGAGCTAGCTAACAGATCTTCAGTCAGAGGCCTCCTCAGATACTGACTGCTACTGCTGGAGAAACTGGCATGATAAATATGGGATAAATGAAGTATTTAAAATGAGTTTCTCATCGCCCTGTAGCCTGGTGTTTCCAGCCTTACAGACTGAAGGATGAATTTCAACCAGATCGTGTTTACTCAGCGTGTTAGCTTAAGGGTGTGTAAACTTTTGTTCTTCGCTTTTATTTATGACACTTTTCCTCTTGGTTGTTTGTTTTTCCTTTGATCCAGGCAGGCAGGGTGAGTTTACTAACCCATGTTGTGGTTTTTATAACAGAAACCTGCCAGACAACCAGAGTATGTAAACTTCTGAGCCACCGTGTGTCACCTTTTATTTTTTTATTCCAACAAATAAAGAAGCAGAGGAGACGATCCAGCAGGAATAATGAGGAGAAAATAAAAAGGTTCAATTCTTGTACACTTAATTAGCACATTTGTAACCTTTGACCTTTAATTCACTTCTCTGTAGAGGTGACCTGAGGCTAGTTTCCACAGTAACCTGGAGCTGGGCTCTCCATTGGGTCTGATACCATCAGTTGGTGGAAGGCGCGGCTCCTCAAACACGCTGCTGTGTAAACATCGGCTGTAATTATGGCTCTGTAAACACAGCAACAATAACCGCAGGAGAACTTTGACCTGCTTGGCTCTGAACCAATCAGAGAGCAGCACACGGCCACCAATCAGAGAGCAGCACACGGCCACCAATCAGAGAGCAGCACACGGCCACCAATCAGAGAGCAGCACACGGCCACCAATCAGAGAGCAGCACACACGGCCACCAATCAGAGAGCAGCACACGGCCACCAATCAGAGAGCAGCACACACGGCCACCAATCAGAGAGCAGATACGAGTTTTAAATGTTTAAACCATCAGACCAGAAGAGGCTGATTGGTCCCAGTTCATTCCCACCAGATGGAGAACATCAGGGTTCGTTTATACATCCAACCATTTATACATCCAACCATCCTTCGTCTTCATTCTCTGTTCTGCACCTGCGTATTGTGACTCAGTGACCTGTAGGAGGCGCTGTGACCCCTGGTGTGTTTGGGTCAGACTGGTGGTTAGCTGTCTGCCCCAGACCTTCCTCCTCCTCCTGTGATCCAGAACTCCTCCTCTTCCTCCCTGGGTTAAACCTTCCCTCTCTGCTGCAGTTTAGCTGCAGGAAGATCAGGAGCCTGTTGGGGTGTGATGGGGTACCAGAGGGGCTTCTGGAGGAGCCTGGGGGCAGGAGGAGGAGGAGGAGGAGGAAGAGGAGGAAGAGCAGCTGCTGTGGTCAGGTGTTCCTGCTCAGAGCAGAAGGTGACGATCTGCTTCAGGAGCGCCTCGGACGGCCGGCCGCTGCGCCGAATCGGTGAGTGAAATCCTCTAAAAGCTGTGAAGGTCGGGCTTCCTGCCGGTTCTGTCGGGTTCTGGCTTTGATCCGAGGTTCTGCTCGGTGTAACGGACCTGACAGCAGTCCAGAGGTTTAATGGGAACTGGATCTGCTATCAACTCCACAAACTTCCTGCAGGGTCAGTGAACGCCTCGCTGGGCGGCCAACGGACCGCCGCAGCATGTTTTCATTCAAACTCCACTCCTCCTCCTCTTCCTCTTCCTCCTCTTCCTCTTCCTCCTCCTCCTCTTCCTCCTCCTCCTCCTCTTCCTCTTCCTCCTCCTCCTCCTTCTCCTCCTCTTCCTCTTCGTTAACATTGCTATTATAAGATGCAAAACTCAAAAACAAATGTTTTAATCTCTATTTTTGTGGATCATAACACTGAGAGTTTTTACATTAACATGTTTAAAATCAGTTTTTAAATCAGTTCTTAAAATCCATTTAAATCTTTTTTATTCTTTGTACAATTATAGTTTGAATACTTTGTAAATAGTAAAGTAGTTTTATGCACCAAACTATCTTTGTTAAGTATCAGCTGACGGATTTTCAAACAGAACCTTACAGAAAGTTTTAATTAAATGTTTCATTGTCAGAAGAAAAGATTCACATCTGAAACATCGTTTCTGTTAATATTCTGTATTCATGTTTTCCTTCCCCTGAGTTTTCTCTTCTTAAGGTTTTTTTTTGTTTCAATTTTAATTGAGACAAAAAGTCAGAAAGTCCGAAAGGAGGCCAAACACTTTGTCACATCTCTGCATGACGACCTTTGACCTTTGCAAAGGTTTCGCTTGTATTTAAATTATGTTTTACTTTAGATGCTGAACAGAAACCGGTCCTGGACCTGGTTCTGGTTCTGTCCAATGAACAGTACTCACTGGGTTAATAATGTTTTTATGTTTTTGATTCTGTACATTTGGTTCTAATTTCTCTAGAATCGAATCGATCAGCTGGGAATGTTCAGTTTCTGCCTGTTAAACCTGGTGAAGTTCCTCAGACGCTTATGGACGCTGGCTGATGTTTGTTGATGTTTGTTGATGTTTGTTGATGTTTGCTGATGTTTGTTGATGTTTGTTGATGTTTGCTGATGTTTGTTGATGTTTGTTGATGTTTGTTGATGTTTGTTGATGTTTGTTGATGTTTGCTGATGTTTGTTGATGTTTGAAGCCGCTTGTGATTCACTGTGTTTGTCAGGAAAGTTTCCTTTAAAAGTCGTCCGGATGCGTTTTTCACTTCCTGTTTCCCCATAGCTGAAACAAACTCCTCACAGTTTTACTTTAGATGCCAGAATGATGCACAATTTTAATCCATTTTTTTCTCTGGCTGTGACTCACTGAAGCCAGCCCCTATGCACAGTTTGGAGTGGTGTGCGCTTTAATTTGGTTTAATTAGCTGAGAATCTCAGACGCTCTGCATTTCATTTAAATGAGAAAGTTTCTTATTTGAACAAGTTCAGTAAAATGTGTTTAAATGTCTTTAGATGAGAAATGTAGCGATTCTGCTCCTGGTTGCTGTCGGGTCTCTGCCAGTTGGATTCTCTTTTTGGTTGTAATTGGCAGTTTGAGCCGATAGGGGGCGGTGTGGTCACAACATGGTGGTTTTGACTTGTTTTTTGTTGTGATTTGTTTGGTCGTCAGAGTCACCTCGCCTGTCCATCGCCTCCATCAGCAGCGATGAGCGCGCTCCGTCCGCCACGCCCTCTGACCCCTCCGACCCGCCGGCGTCGGGCCAGCGCCCGCTCAGCCTGATCTCCACACTGTCCTCCGGGTCCAGGTCCTCCGGGTCCGGGTCCTCCAGGGACGACTGCGTCGCCCCACCGCCGGAGATCGACCCGAACCAGAACCCGAGTCCTGAGAAAAGGGGGCGGAGCTTCGTTCACAACAACAACAACAACAACAAAGCCTCGACTCCGAGCCGAGCGTCCAGCCGCCGGCAGCCGGTGCTGCCCTTCGTGGGCGCCACCATGGTTCCCGACCCCAAGCTGAAGCACCTGGACCGCATCGTCATGGAGATCATCGAGACGGAGCGGATGTACGTCAGAGACCTGAAGATCATAGTGGAGGTGAGTCACAGGCCGCCATGTTGAGTCGCAAGACGCCATGTTGAGTCGCAAGACGCCATGTTGAGTCACAGGCCGCCATGTTGAGTCACAGGCCGCCATGTTGAGTCGCAGGCCGCCATGTTGAGTCACAGGCCGCCATGTTGAGTCACAGGCCGCCATGTTGAGTCACAAGACGCCATGTTGAGTCACAGGCCGCCATGTTGAGTCGCAAGACGCCATGTTGGCTCTTCCTGTCCTTCCTTCCTGCTGATCGGACCAATCAGATGCAGTCCTCCTCCTCTTCATGGACTTTAATAGATATACAACTAGAGCTGCAGCTAACGATTATTAAAGTAATCAATTATTCTACTGGTTATTCTGATGATTAATCAATAAAACATTCCCACTGCAGATTTTTCATTTAACCAGTTCAACCTTTTTTATTCAATAGTAAAAATACTTTAGAAGAGGTAAATCATTTAATCAATTAATAATATTAATTAATTGATTACTAAATTAGCTTATTAACAATTGGATGAATCAGATTTTCTCAGATTCTGAACCAGGTGTTACTCAGATATGATGCTCTTTAATCAAATGACTTCCTTTGATAAGAGAAATCAATTGTTTACTTTAGTCAACAATTTATTGATTATTAAGTTAGTTGACAATTATTTCTTTAATCAATCACTGCGATTAATCCTATTAAGTGTTTCAACGTTACAATGAACAGAAAAAATGCAAACAGCAAATAATTTGACCACAGTCAAAATTCCTGGCACGATGTTTCAGTGCGGTGTGGTCGGCTCCCCCTGGTGGTCCGGAGGACTTCCTGTTTGTGCAGCAGAGGTGTCTGTCATTTACACCTGAACAGGTTTTAGTTTGGAACATTTCAGGATGATTCCAAAATGATTTCCTCTGTTTGACGGTGGTTTTTCAAATCCACAAAGTTCAGCTTGAAACAGGAAGCTGCTTCATTTCTTGCAGAGGCCATTCGGCCGGCGGACAGGGAAGGACATGTCCTGCTCTGGAGGAAGTGACTTGGCCCTGTAATTCACAGATTAGCAGGGATTACCTGCTCATGTAACGCCCAGGGTCAGAGAGAGACAGTTAGAAACACGGATCAGAACCAGAACCAGAGGAGACATTTTAACCTGGAACTGAGGCAAAGATGCTACAAGCCAGAAAACAGCAGCTGGATCCATGGATAGAAGCTGAATGATCTTTGGTCAAAATTAAAAGACTTGTTTTGATTTTTAGCAGCAGTCTGAGTGCATCTAAAAGACACTAAATATTGATTGAGCTTTAAAAAAAGATAAAATAACAAATGTTTCCATTTAGTAACATGAAGATGCATTTTTATTTCCTCCAACTACAAAAACAAACTGAAGGATCCAGTGGATCCAGTCTGCCCCCTGCTGGAGGAAAGTCAGCATTACAATCAAACTGCTTTGGGATTTATGTGTAAAACATTATTAATAATATTTAATTCAATGCTCTTTTTACATGTGATTTCAGTTTATTTATGTTGAATCCTAAAACTTGAGTAAATCCAGAAAGAAAAAACCTTCATCCTCCTCATCCTCATCCTCAGGATTACCTCGCTCACATCATCGACGAGTCGGACCTGTCCAACCACCCCAAGCTGGTCTGCGACCTTTTCGGGAACATCGAGGACATCTATGAGTTCAACAGGTGAGGAGAAGCTAGCAGAAGCTCAGCAGAAGCTAGCAGAAGCTAGCTGAAGTTAGCTGAAGCTAGCTGAAGTTAGCTGAAGTTAGCTGAAGCTAGCTGAAGCTAGCTGAAGTTAGCTGAAGCTAGCTGAAGTTAGCTGAAGCTAGCTGAAGTTAGCTGAAGCTAGCTGAAGTTAGCTGAAGCTAGCTGAAGTTAGCTGAAGCTAGCTGAAGCTAGCTGAAGTTAGCTGAAGCTAAAAGACGTTCAGTATGAGCGAACTAGACGCCGTTCCTCCGTTTCACAGCGAGCTACTGCAGGACCTGGAGCGATGCGACAACGACCCCGTCGCCATCGCCAGCTGCTTCGTGTCAAAGGTCGGTTAAAACCCAACATGGAGGTGAGAATGGTTCTGCTGCTGTGAGGAAAGTCTTCATCTGATGCCTGGTTTGTTCCAGAGTGAAGACTTCGATATCTACACCAGTACTGCACCAGCTACCCAGAGTAAGTCCAAACCGAGCGGGTCTGGCTGGACTCCTGGTTTCCTCCTGCTCACACCGTCCAGTTCATCCATTCATCACCCGAAACAATTAATCGAACTGTGATGATTAATCGACAGAATAATCGATTAATTACATTGGTCTGATGATTGTCAGAATATTTGATTAATCACCAAAATATTATATTAGTTATCAGAATATTCAGCAGAACAATCGATTACTAAACTAATAGTTCTCTGCAGATCCGGCGTTACTGAACAGGGTTGAATCCTTTTTCTCCTAATCACACCTGTTCACATTTCATTTTCATTTAAACTGATTTCAGGTTGAATCCTCATTGATTTTTCACATCTTTGTTTTCATCTTTACCTGAATTTGCTTGTAGTAATATCTACCTCTAATTCACATTTTCTCTGTTTCTACCTCCTCACCACTTGGTGGCAGTCTCAGTTGCATTTACCTGATGTTTAAAGCCTGTCCCTCACCTGTTCCAACCTCACCTGTTCTAACCTCACCTGTTCTAACCTCACCTGTTCTAACCTCACCTGTTGCAGGTCGGTGGAAGCGCTGACAAAGTGCATGAACAATAAGTCTGTGGCCAAGTTTTTCCGGGACCGCCAGGCGTCGCTGAAGCATTCGCTGCCTTTGGGCTCCTACCTGCTCAAACCCGTCCAGAGGATCCTCAAGTACCACCTGCTGCTCCAGGTACCTGACCTGCTGACCCTCCTCACCCTCCTGGTGTTTCATAGGATGAACAGGATGGTTAATTTGGTTTTAATCATTCTGGTTCTGTGTTTCTAAGGATTTCATCTCTGTCTGGAAAAATCTGGAATTATTTTAAGAGTTTTCAAGGACGTGTTTTGGTTTCCCTTCATCCAGGCCTACAGTTTTTCCAGGCTCCATATTTATTCCGTGTAGAATAAATTCAAAGCAAATTTTTGTTTAAATATTGTAAAAATTTGCTCAAAATGTTGAGAGAACTGTAAAAGTTTAGAGTGTTGAACTGTTTTCTGGGTGATATTTGGATCCTAAACTCTGAGTTTAAATTCCAGGACAGTAGATCCATCATGGCGGACATGGAGCAACGGCTGTTTCCCACCTGATTTTCTGTCTTGCTGTTGGTGTTCAGGAGATCGCCAAGCACTTCGGCCCTCAGAAGGACGGCTACGATGTGGTGGAGGAGGCGCTCTACACCATGACCTGGGTGGCCTGGTACATCAACGACATGAAGAGGAAACACGAGCACGCCGTGCGGCTGCAGGTCGCTAACGTCTCCATGACTGCTGCAGCGTCTCCATGGCAGCTGCAGCGTCTCCATGGCTGCTGCAGCTGCAGCGTCTCCATGGCTGCTGCAGCAGCAGCCGGCCTGATGATCATCAATAAATCTCTCTTTCTATTTATTGTAGTTTTTCAATTCACAAAGTGAAACTCATCCTGATTCCTTCCACATTAGTAGCGACCCATTAGCACAGTTATGCTAAAGCGCTAACAGCAGCAGGCTTGGTCTGACCCTTGACCTTTTGCAGGAGGTCCAGTCTCTGCTGGTGAACTGGAAAGGTCCGGACCTCACCACGTACGGCGAACTGGTGCTGGAGGGAACCTTCAAGGTTCCCCGGGCTCGACACGAGCGCACGCTCTTCCTGTTCGACCGCATGCTGCTCATCACCAAGCGCCGCGGCGAGCACTTCGTCTACAAGACGCACATCTCTGTGAGTTAGCACGGCAACGGGCCCCGGGCAGAAACGCCGGCTTCGTTCTCATGTCTCTACGTTTCTTCTTCTCCAGTCGTCGACGCTGCTGCTGATCGAGAGCGCCAAGGATTCGCTGAGCTTCAGCGTCAGCCATTACAAACACCTCAAACAGACTCACAACGTGCAGGTGAGCCGCCGCTGCTGCTGCTTCAGCTGCCTCAGCTGCCGCAGCTGCTTCAGCTGCCGCAGCCGGCTGGAATACGTTAAAAAGAGTAAATATCAACCATCAAGTCCAAATTTCCTCCAAAGGGACAAATAGTGGAAACAGAGACACAAAATACTTGATTATCTTTTGTGAGGAAGCTGCAATAAACTTTCCTAAATATATTTCCAAGCCAAAATTTACCCGACGACAGAGCCTTGAGGAATCCCAGGCGAAGGTTTAATTGATTAATCGTGATTAACTGTTTATTAAAATAATAATAAACAAAATTAGAGTACTTTTTAATCCTGCGGTTAACGATTAATGGATTACTAGAAAAGTTGCTGGTTATTTCAATAACTGATTAATCACCATTAATCAGTTATTGAACTGCTGTCTGAGTGAAGGACTGTTGATCCATCGCTGCTCTGAGATCCAGTCTTTCCACCACAGAACTGTCAGTTTTTAAAATCGTTGTGGAAATGCGTGAACTGATTTCCGATCTGCCGTCTCTCTTCACTCGCTTCGTGTTTCAGGCCAAGACGGTGGAAGAAAAGAAGCTTTGGGCTCATCACATCAAACGCATCATTTTGGAAAACCACCAAGCGGCCATCCCTCAGAAGGTGAGTGGCTCGGTCTCCAGCAGGACCAGTCAGACCAGCACAGAGTCCCAGCAGCCGCCTGCTTTGTGTTTCAGGCGAAGGAAGCCATTCTGGAGATGGACTCCATCGGTGAGGATGACTCCGCTGCTCTTCGTCCTCCAGCGGAGGTTCTGGGTCTGACGGCGCTGTGCTTGTCCGCAGGTCCGGCCCGGTACCGCTACAGCCCCGAGCGGCTGAAGAAGACGGACGAGTTTCCCCGAGACGCTCGCCAGGGCCGCAGGCAGTCGGGTAGTTAGGAATATTTCTACTGCAGAACGTTTTACTGTCACTGAATGAAAAACAAACCTTTTCAAATCCAGCAGACAGATGAACGCCTGCAGCTTCTGCTGAAGTCTCAAGTTTTTATTGAAAGAAACTAATTTACTTACATGAATTATTGTAACATCAAAATTTCCACTTTCTATTTGACTCTATCTGGTGATTATTAAATTTGAAATGATTGATCAGTTGCTCTGTAAGTTTTACCAAATACTTTTGCACCTCATTAATTTCTTGGCCAGATGCTTTTGACCTTTAGTTGAGCAACATGTTGAAGTATTCCTGCTCTGGGTTGAGTTCAGTTATGAAAACTCTGGGTATGAAACACATTAATGTTTGTAATTCATCATTTCTGATTAAAAATGGTTTCATTTCTTCCTCAGAACCAACCAAGCAGATGCTGAAGAGGAATAAAGGTAAAAATCTGTTTTCCATCTTTTTAACTCTGACCATGTTTAGCACATTCAGCTTCCTCTACAGTCATTTTTCTGGATAAATTCAAGCTAATTAAATTGGCTGATTTAAGGCTGCACTTCCACTAATATGTTAAAGGCAAAGCTAAGTCTTAATTTAGCGCTTTAGCATTTCACTAGCTGAAACATTTAGCATACTTAGCTTCCTCTAAATTAATCTTTGTGGATTCATTCTAAATTCTGCATTAAGCATGTTAAAATCTAGTAAAACTCAACAACTCCAAAGCTGAAAGAATCACTTCCTGAAGACCGATGTCTGCAGGTAAGAGTGTAATGACGACCTTTAGCCTCTTGGGGGCGGTGGAACATTTTGTAATGACTGTGTTCTTGCATAAAACAGTTATTTAACAGTTGCAGCAAAAGTTGTTTTATGGTTCAGAAGCATAAAACTTGCTTTAGTCTGTAATGTTGTGATTCTGACGAGTTCTTTCTGTTTCCAACCAATCAAATCGTCCGATGACCTGCTGCTGCCTCAGCGCCTCTGGAGGTAAGGAACTGACCCGCCACCGTCAGATCTGTGGGGCGACCAGCCGCGGTTGTAGATGGATGTCATGTAGCATGTTGAGCAGTGTGTGGCGTCCCGCAGCATGCGGTCAGTGAGGACGCGCTGGCGGGCGACAGGCGCTCGCTGCAGGGCGCCATCAGCAGCAGCACGCTGGGCTCCAGCAGCCTGGGCTCCAGCAGCCTGGGCGAGCCGGACGGCGGCGAGGACGAGGCCGGCCGGCTGGACGACTTCCTCCTGGAGGACGAGCAGGTAGAGGACTTTGCCAGCTCCGTGCTGGCTGCCATCTCCTGCTGGCAACACACCGTCCAGGCCTTCCTTTCCTCTGCGGGGACGGTGAGGCTTTCTGCTGCCTGCGCCGCTGCAGCTCCGTCATGCGCTGAACGGACGGCCGCCATAACTCCAGCTGCTGCTGCTGCTGCTCACACTGCAGAAACACAAAAACTTACCAAGTGTTTGGTCTAGTTCAAGTCCTCAAGTCCTTCACTTAACATAACACAAAGCTAACTTATAAGTAACTTTTTAGCAACATAGGAGTTTGTTTTAAATCAAGGAAAAGGTCCCGGTTCCACCGATGATGTTTTCTATGCTATCAGTGAAACAATCAGCCACCTGAACTTTGACCTCAGACACTCGAGACTTACCTTGGCCTTGGTTTGCTCTTGTGGAGTTCCTCAGGGCGCTCAGCTGCTCAGGTTAGCCTGAGCGCTGAAGGTTTGCATCAGTTTGCTGCTCATTCCTCTTTTCTTTGTTAAGCATTTATTTTCCTGGCATGTTTTGCAAAAGCTGCTGTGCTGCTTCTCTCTCCAAACACGCCGATATTTATTTCCATCCCTAAAACTGGACTTTTATGGCTTCTGCAGGTTAAAGTCCGTGACTGAAATATATTTTTACTTGCAGGAGGCAGAGAAAAGTTGCAACGCCGCAACCAAAGAAAACGGTCAGCTCTTTGAAGACGAGCTGATCGGACCTGAACCGACACCTGAGCAGGTAAACAGCAGCTTCCAGGAACCATTCAGGAACTTTGCTTAACCAGACGACTGTTGACTGTTCAGAGCAACTTCAGAATGTCAGGGACTCGAATCCTCAGCCTTTAACCAGTGGAACACCTCCAGCATCGTCCTGACGGTTCATTTGTCGTTTTGAAGGTTTCTTCTTCTCTGGTGTCTCGTCGGACTCCACCTGGTTCCTGTTTGTTTGGTTCGATCTGAGTTGGCGTTTTGCTCCTCGCTAACGGGGCGGGAACATGTTTGGACCGTGGGTCGATGCTACAATCACGTCATCTTGTGTTTGTACCTCTGGGTTTCCAGTCAGTTGATGATGGTTTTTAAAGGTTGTTATCGACGGTTGCTGCTCTTATCGTAAATCGGTTGCGGTTGTTGACTTCAGTCTGTTGCCAGTCAAATCGTTGGTCTGGGTCTGCAAGTGGAGACGAATCTGAGAATCCATCGAAGACAGAATCAGTCAGATCAGTTGAGAAGGTTTGGGTCAAAGGTCGATTCACATCAGGGACAAGTTTTGAACGTTGTTATCCAGGCATCAGTGGTACCAGCCTCATGTTTTGACACAAATCTTTTTGTTGTCAGTCTGCAGATGCTTCACCTCAAGAGAACCCGATGGAAAAACCAGAAGACTCTGAACCAGAACCGCCTGCAGGTTCTGCAGTCCCTGAGGTTCCTCAGGAGTCTGAAGATCTGCAGCCTGATGAAGATCCAGAACCTGCTGACCCACCGTCTTCTGCCACATGTGATTCTGACTCCAAGACCCTGAGCAGCGCCGAGTCCTCGGAGGAGGACGAAGACGAGAGGGAGGCGGCCGATGACCAGTCCAGTTCTCCCAGTATTCTGCCGTCCTCGGTTCTGGACAAGGCCAGCGCCATCGCCCAGCACTTTAACAGCATCAAGAGAGGCAGCCTGGCCCAAGATGACGCCCGCTCCCTGGGCTGTCTGTCCCCTCGTTTACCCAGCAGGACCGGCAGCACGCTCAGCCTGCGGTCCGAGTCGGCCGACCGCCCGCTGCGCCTCAACAGCAACTCCTCCGATCCGCCCGAGGCGTTTGGCGGAGCGGACCTGAGCCTGCTGTCCCCCAGAGACGACAGCCTCTTCGAGCCGGACCGCAGCGTCCGGCGGAGGCGGGACTCCACCCTGTCCAAGCAGGACCAGCTGCTCATCGGGAAAATCAAGAGCTACTACGAGAACGCCGAGAACCAGGACGCCTCGTTCGGCCTGCGGCGCAGGGAGAGCCTGACCTACATCCCGTCGGGCCTGGTCCGGAGCTCCGTCAGCCGCTTCAACAGCATCCCCAGAGATGAGACGGCCCAGTCCAATCCTGCTGCTTCAGCCACACCTCAGGATCTGGATCCTCTCTCCACTAAGAACCGCTTGGCCTCCAGTCAGTCCTTGGACCCGCTGAAGTCCGATCTGTTGAGCAGCGACTGCGAAGAACCGCTCAGGTTCCGGCCGACACACGATGACCTGTCAGAGGAAGAGTTCAGATCTTCATCAGAGATGATTAAGATCTGGCAGACGATGGAGCGACAGATCTCCAGATCCCAAAGCCAAGACAGGGAATCCAGTCAGTCCAGAGAGAAACCCTCCATCTCCGCCGGCGTCAGCAGCTTAACCCGGACCAAGAGCTGCGACCCGGACCTGAAGAACTCCGACCTGAGTGCCGTCACAGAGGACTCCCTCAGCTCACTGCCAAAGACCAGAACCGCAGCGCTCAGCCGGGCCGGGAGTCGGACCGGCACCTCCAGATGCTTCGGGGAAGAGACGGTGATGCTGCGGGCCACGGTTCCCCGGGTGGCGGAGCTGAGGGCGGAGCTGAGGGCGGAGACCGGCGGCGACAAACCCGCTGAGGAGACGGAGCAAACGGACGAGGTGGACAGAGCCGAGAGCAAAGTCCGTCTTCTGGCTCGACGCTACAGCCAGCGGATCAGAACCTCCAGTCCGGTGGTCCGACAGCGAAGCCCGGCCGGCCCGTTCAACAGGAAGACTCTGGCTTGTGTGGTGGAGGAGAAGGAAGGCTCAGGGAAGCCCATCCTGACTCTGCCTCTGGGTCCGAAGGTCCAGTCCAAGTCTCTGCCGCTGAGCCCAGTGGAACTGGACCAGAACCCGGGCGCTGGAGGCCACGCCCCCCTCAGCCCGCCGCCCCCCGCCGAGGGCTTCAGCTGGCCCGACGTGCGGGAACTCCGCTCCAGATACTCCAGCGGCGGCCGGAACCAGAACCGGCCCATGAGCCGCAGCTGCACCATCCCGGACCGCATGTTGGACGGCAGGAGGCACTCCAGCGGATCACCCGGTCATCTCCATGACGACGACGCGTGGGCAAGCCGACCCCGCGGCGGGCGGGTCGCGGCGCGGGGCGATCGGTCCAAACGGCTGCACAGAGCCAACTCTCTGGACCCGCGGCTCAGCCTGCAGCTGGGCGACCTGCAGCGGACCCGGCAGGAACGCAGCGCCGCCGCCGGTTACTACATCGCCGCCGAGGCGCCGCTCACAGACGACCCCGAGCGCAAGATCATCATCATGGAGAAGCTTCCAGAACCCGGAAACAGGGAACCGGTAGAGGACGACGGATACGTCCAGATCCGCTCCCCGACCAGCCGGGAGAAGATCTCCATCATGGCCGTCATCGACCGCTGCCGCGCGCTACCAGGAGTCCGACGACTACAGGCTGAGGGACGACACCAAGACGGCGCCGCCGTCAGAGCCGGACGAGCCGCAGAAAACCCGACCCGAGTCCGGGCAGAGCGGCCAGAAGAGCATGGTGAAAAACCTGAGGGAAAAGTTTCAGAGCCAAACCTGAAAAACCTGGAGAACCTGGAGGACCTGGAGAACCTGGAGGACCTGAAAAACCTGGAGGACCTGCAGAATCTGGAGGACCTGGAGAACCTGGAGGACCTGCAGAATCTGGAGGACCTGAAAAACCTGGAGGACCTGGAGATCCTGGAGAATCTGGAGGACCTGAAAACCTGGAGGACCTGCAGAATCTGGAGGACCTGGAGAACCTGGAGGACCTGCAGAATCTGGAGGACCTGAAAAACCTGGAGGACCTGGAGATCCTGGAGAATCTGGAGGACCTGAAAAACCTGGAGGACCTGGAGATCCTGCAGAACCTGGAGATCCTGCAGAACCTGGAGGACCTGAAAAACCTGGAGGACCTGGAGATCCTGCAGAACCTGGAGATCCTGCAGAACCTGGAGGACCTGAAAACCTGGAGATCCTGCAGAACCTGGAGATCCTGCAGAACCTGGAGGACCTGAAAAACCTGGAGGACCTGGAGATCCTGGAGAACCTGGAGGACCAAAGTTCTCCTGACCCAAACCGCCGTCGCTCCCGGGTCGCCTGGAACCGCCTCGAGGTTCTGGCAGAACTTCTCATCTGTAAATCCTTTCCTCTGGGTTCATTCTGCCCTGCGACCTTTGAACCCTGTGGAAACGCCAGCGGGTCGCTAACGGGTCGCTGGTTCTGCTCAGTGCGGCTGAACCGAACCTTTTCTTAAGTCTTCATCCCAAAGATTCAGGATCCGCCAAAAATACCCATCATGCTCCAGGTTGCTATGGATTTGTTGCTTCAGACTTTTTTCAGAAAAACTTTATTGATTCATTTCAGAATAAATTCAGAATTTAAAGTTTCCTGAATAAACATCCAGATTCTTTCCTCCAAATAAACTCATTTCAAGGTTCAGCTTCTGGAAATAATCTGATTTATGACGTTATTCTCATATTATTGGCTTTTTCTCATCATGACTTTTTGTTTTACCATTTTTATTTAGACTTTTTTTCTTGGTTCAGTTTCTTCATCCTCCTCATCTTCACTGAGTCCAGCCAGTTCAACCTGAACCTGGTTCTGGAATAAAACTTCAGAAAATCATTTTTAATGTCAGTAAAATTCTTCATGAGACATGAAACCAGATGTTACACCGGGTGTATGTATATTTATGAGCCTTAGAAATGAATTGTAAATGGAAATGAATGATTTTAGATGCTGATGATGATCAGGCCTTTTAACTCTGGGCTGCATGCAATAAATGAGTTTGTAGATGATTTAACTAGGACAATAAAGAATGAACTGAATATTTTAAGAAAAAATATGTAAATTTATTATAATATAATTAAAATGATTTATTTTGCTGCTTCTGATGTAACTTACGGTTTTTACATGTTGTGCCTTTTTGAGATTTTATTCCAAATCAGTTTGAACTTTTGATTTGTCACTGAAGCGTCTTTGGTCAGAGGTGACCTCTGACCTCCACAGAGCCCACTGTAACGCCTCATATTTATTGGATCTCATGTAAATAGAAACGTTTGTGTCTGTTTCTTTGTGACGATGCCAACATGAAACATTAAACTGAGACAAACGCCGAGATTTTCCTCTTCATTTCAGTCAAACTGGATTCCTGAGAAATATCGCCAAGCTAAGCTAGGCTAAGCTAGGCTAGGCTAAGCAGCAGAAACCAGGAGCATACAGTAGAAACAGAGTTCTGTCTCTTTAAGAGGGTGATGTCATAGCTCTGGGAGCTGCTGATAGGCTGCCTGTGGACGTATTAAAAGCTCCTAATGAAACATTTTTCTGTTGTGACTTGATCTGAATCCGTCACAAGAAACGATTAACGAACAGGGAGAAAGTTTCACTTCTGGAGAAATAAAAGTTCATAATGAGCTTCGTCACGTTGAGGGACAGAGAGGCTTTAACTGTCCCAGCTGCTGTCTGGTGGTGGCAGCATCATGCTGTGGGCAGCAGGGATGATGTGAATTAATTTAACCAAATAATTACATTTATTTACTGATTTAATTTCACTTTGGGGTCAATAAAATATTTTTAGTTGAATAGATTCAGTCATTAATAAACACATTATTTATTGAGAATTAGTGAAAAATCACTTTATTCTCAATAATTACAGAATACATTTTTATGCATATTAATTTAATATCAACTCTGAATATTTTTATTCATTTAAAAACCTAAACTAAATGTCAATGAATAAATCTTACTGTAAAATGATTTGAAGTGATTCATAGTTTTATTTCCAAAATAATTTCATCTTAAGATCAAACTTATTTCTATCACTTGATCTTAAGAAAACTTTTTAAATTGATCAATAATCTCATCTCGTCTTGAAACATAACTAAATGCATTTTTAAATTAAACTTTCGAGATTTGATTGAACAAAGAATTTGTTAGTTTTCTAAAATTCATTTGATATAAAATTCTCAAAAATAGAATTAATGTCAGTTTTAAGTTTAAATTTTGTTTATTTCAATAGTTAAATAAACAATTTAACAGTTATAAACAATAAATTATTGAAATGATACAGTTTTAAAGATATATTTTATATTTTTGATCCAAAACATTTACAATTTTCCCACTAGATTATCATTTATAAATTTATAAAATATTATTGTAGTTATAATATTGCAGACATTAATAAATAAAACTGACAAATTCTGTGATTAGCAGGAAATATTCATAGTTTTAGTGACTAACTGGCCTGAAACTGCAAACATTTTCTCTCATTTTAAGCTCAATCTGATTATTTTCGCTTTCATTTTATTAAAGCCAATAAGGAGAAAATCAAATCTGGACATATTTAATGTTTATTGTTTACATCAGTAACTGAGGGGCCCCTCGGGCCCCGGGCCCCCAGGATCTCAGCATCGCTCCTGGGTTTCATTGTTATTCCTCCAGACTGAGTCCTGTCCTCCTGCGGATGGACAGATTATTGATTATTGATTATGGATGAAAGATTTTCCACCCTGTTCGGTGGCCCCGCCCTCGTGGCCCCGCCCACGTGGCCCCGCCCACTGAGGGCGCGTCCCTGCAGATCAGCTGCTGTGATTCTGATGCTCCGGTTCTGCTGCAGAATCATCCTGACCCAGCCGGACTGCAGTCCTCACGGTAAGGAGTCTCGCTGGTTCCGACCGGTTCGGTTCGTTGACTGGGTTCTGGGAGCTCTGCTGGTTTGTTTTGGGTTTATAGCAGAATTCTGCTCTCATTAGAACTGAACGGAACCGCATCCCGTCCCGTTCGAACCGGATGTTTTGTTTTCTTTTGTTCTTCCTGTGGAGGTCCAGGTAAAGTTTCCTCAGGTGCGAGCAGAGCTTCATCACTCTGACGGTTCTGATTGGAGGCTCTCAGACTCTGCAGGTATCGGAACCGGCGTGCTGGACTCTGACTCTGGACCTTCAGATCGATCAACCGATCAGTTCGAGTCAACATGGACTTTATACCCACAATCTTAACTTTGTTTGTGTGACTTTAAGGGTCTTGTTTTGTTGGAAAGTTGATCTGAACGGATTTTAAATAGTTTTTGTTTCCTGATGAAACTTCAGAAAATCTTTCAAATCAGAAACTTTTTATCTGCTGCCTTCATCACAGGAGCCTGAGCTCCACCCTGACGTCACAGAGGAATGTCTACACATACACACACACACACACACACACACACACACACACACCTCAGTTAGGAGGAATTCAGTGTTTCTCAACCTGACGACATGATCAGGCGGTTCTGTTTCCTGCATCAGTGTTTTTCAGGTGATAAGTTATTATCTGTCAGCTGAAACAACATTGAATGTTAAAATGTGACATGCATGTGGGAGTTCTGAAGCACCACAGCATGACTCCTCCTCCTCCGTACCGTAACCATCAGCTGTAACTTTTGTTTTGATATCAATAAACGTCTCAGAGCACAAGACGCGTATAGAAACTAACTACATCAAATTATTGTTAAAAATTCAAATTCTTCTTGTTCAGAGCAACGTTTAAGCTAATGCTAACTAGCATTGTATTTAGTGGAAGCTAATGCTAACGTGCTACACTAGCATTGTATTTAGTGGAAGCTAATGCTAAAGTGATACACTAGCATTTGTATTTAGTGGAAGCTAATGCTAAAGTGATACACTAGCATTTGTATTTAGTGGAAGCTAATGCTAAAGTGATACACTAGCATTGTATTTAGTGGAAGCTAATGCTAAAGTGATACACTAGCATTTGTATTTAGTGGAAGCTAATGCTAAAGTGATACACTAGCATTTGTATTTAGTGGAAGCTAATGCTAAAGTGATACACTAGCATTGTATTTAGTGGAAGCTAATGCTAAAGTGATACACTAGCATTTGTATTTAGTGGAAGCTAATGCTAAAGTGATACACTAGCATTGTATTTAGTGGAAGCTAATGCTAAAGTGATACAGCATTTGTATTTAGTGGAAGCTAATGCTAAAGTGATACACTAGCATTGTATTTAGTGGAAGCTAATGCTAAAGTGATACACTAGCATTTGTATTTAGTGGAAGCTAATGCTAAAGTGATACACTAGCATTTGTATTTAGTGGAAGCTAATGCTAAAGTGATACACTAGCATTGTATTTAGTGGAAGCTAATGCTAAAGTGATACACTAGCATTTGTATTTAGTGGAAGCTAATGCTAAAGTGATACACTAGCATTTGTATTTAGTGGAAGCTAATGCTAAAGTGATACACTAGCATTTGTATTTAGTGGAAGCTAATGCTAAAGTGATACACTAGCATTTGTATTTAGTGGAAGCTAATGCTAACATGCTCTCTCTGCACCAGCTTGTGGTCAGTCTTCGGACTCCAAGTCGACAGAAACAACCAGATTCACCGTCAGTCTGGAATCTGAGCCTCAGAAATCTGGAAAATCCTGAAAACTTTATTTAATGTGAGTCTGAACTGATTTAAGTCCCTTAAACATGTTTTTTTATCCCAGTTAAACCTTCCTGTTGTGTTCGGAACCGAGCTGCAGCCCGGCCCTGTTCTGGAGGCCGAACAAAGAGACGTATTGTTCTGGATTCCTCAGATCCAAGCGGGTCAGAGATCAGCAGACTGACGGTTCCAGGCGTGTTGAGATCCGACGTTAAAAGATTTAATCCAGAACCGATTGATTCC